CTGGCGCCGCCGCCCCCCCCCCGCTGGGCCCCAGCCCCGGCCGGTACCTCGTAGCCCCCCAGCTTGAGGGTGACGGTGACGTCGATGGGGTGGTTGACCACGCCCACCACGGAGCGCACCAGCGACATGAAGAGCAGAGGGAACCAGATGAGGAAGAGGATGATGAGGCCGCCCATGCCGTACTTGACGATCTTCTTCTTCTTCTGGCCCTTGGGCTGCGGGTATTTCTGCGGGGGGAGGCAGGCTCAGTGCGGGGCTGGCGGGGCTCCCGGAGGCCCTGGCCTGGCCTGGGGAGGGACGCGCCTGCCCCGGCCGTGCGGACGGCTCCCAAGGGGCACGGACACCCAAGGGTTTTCCCTTCTTTGTCTCTGGGGCAGTTTTCTCTCCAGCTACTGAGGGGGACAGACAATGTAAGTCTGTCTGTCTGTAAGTAGGGTAAAGTTTAGTTGTCCCTAACACACTGTTGCATGTTCCCAGTCAGGACAGGGACAGCTGAACCCCCCAGTTACTGGCTTTCTGTTTTTGTAGCCTCTCTGATCTGCCTGCGCACCCAACCACCCCAGCCAGGGTCGGCAGTATTGTACCTCTCTGGTGCTACACGCTGGCTAGTCAGGCCTGGACTTCCAAGCCACGGAGACGCGAAGGGACGGGTTGCTTCACTTCACGTTTTTTCTGTACTGGCTCCGTGGACCACAGAGTTGTAGAATGGTTTATGTGATGTGCTTAATGGGGAGTGTGAGAACGAATGTGAAACAGCTCTAACTCCGCTGGCCGCCTTTCTCTGGTGAGCAGGGAAGAACAGCCTTCTAGGCCCTATACAAACTGCTCGGCTGCGTCTAGACTGGCATGATTCTCCGCAAATGCTTTTTACGGAAATGTTTTTCTGTGAAAAGCATTTGCGGAACAGAGCGTCTAGATTGGCACGGACACTGTTCCGCAAAAGCTCTTTTTGCAGAAAAGCGTCCGTGCCAATCTAGACGCACTTTTACGCAAGAAAGCCCCGATCGCCATTTTCGCCATCAGGGCTTTTTTGCACAAAACAGTTTTTAACTGTCTACACTGGCCCTCTTGCGCAAAAACATTTCTGGAAAAGGGCTTTTGCCCGAACGGGAACATCAAAGCATTTGTGCAAGAAGCACTGATTTCAGACAGTAGAGCATCAGTGCTTTTGCGCAAAATCAAGCGGCCAGTGTAGACAGCTGGCAAGTTTTTGCGCAAAAGCGGCCGCTTTTTCGGAAAAACTTGCCACTCTAGACACAGCCACCGTGTCTGTATCTGATGTCAAGACAGACAGAGATCAGCAGGATCCCTGGGAGTCAGCGTGATCACACTGTTGCTCTTAGGAGTTACCAGAGGAATAGATTGTGTTATAAAGAAAATATCATGAATGAATGAAAAGTTTGTACTAATAGAAGCTTTGTATTAGGAATCAGATTGATACCTTTTGTGTGAACAGTTGTCTCCCTTCTCCCAGGTGTGAAATGATTGTGTATTTCCTGGGGAAGGGGTGTGCGGGAGTTTGGAGAGAGAACTTGTAGGCCCAACAGTTTCAGAGTCCAGACAGTGGGGAGGGGAGAGGGCTGGAAGACTCAGAGGCATCAAGGTTCCATAAATTGGGCCCAGTGCAAAGCAGACAGATGGAGGGCATGTGAGCGGCCTTGCAGTGTTAAGAAGCAAGTGCACGGTTACAGACAAGACAGCCTTGAAACAACACCGGAAAGGAGGCACCGATATACTGATGTCAGATGGCAAAGAACAACTTCCCGATAACCAGATGTTAAAATGGTGATTGATTAAGAGCTGACGAAGCAAAATGCACAGATCGGAATGGGAGAAAAGTCCTATAGAAGATGGGGTGTCTTGCATTAATCTCTGGGTCTCGTCTGGTCATCACCAGAGCATCAGTCCGGACCCAGAGAAGCCCCCCCAGTTCCTCTCCTTCATATTTAACTTGCCTGGCTAGTAAGTTACTGTGAGCAGCAGACTGGTAACTTCAAGCAATGACAAGATTTTGTGCCTGTGTTTGTGTGTCTGTGGGCTTGTCTCTATGGAGCAGATGCTAAGTGTTTTTCTACTGTATTCTCAATAAATGCAGCATGTTGCCTTTTCCCCGGAAAAAGATCCCGTGTGCTTCTTCTTAGCTTAACAACTCTGCTTCCAGCACTGCACCTCTCACAGCGACCTGCATTGTCCTTCCGATACGCTTTGTCCCTGGCTAGTCCTGCGTCCCATTGCTTATCACCCTGTCATGTTACTGGATTTTAAGGGGAGCAGCCAGATGGCGTTTGCCTCAAAGGTGTATACAAAAGGGGGCCATGTGAGGTGTCCAAAGAAAGCTTGTGTTCTACTGATTCTGTGTGTGCTATTCATGTACTTGTATAATATCTGTATGTGGAGTTATAAACATGTACTCTGCAAGGAATGCTCAGCCAATGGCTATGCTAATTAGCAAGGTGCCAATACACATCTCAGGAATGTGACTGATACTTAAGGGCTACCAGCATGGAACACAGGGATAGGCCACGGGACCAGGTGACCTGCTGCAGCCAAGATGATGCCAGGAGAGGGATACAAGTGCCATGTGGCACCCTCCAGCTAGATCTTCAGCTCAGCTCTTGATCCCAGAGGCAGCCTTGCAGGGAACCATGAGCCAGAAAGAACCGTGGACCCATCCTGACAGAGGATGTGCACCAGAGACTTTTAAGCCAGCAGTTATAACATCTCTGCTGCAAACCTGTATCGAGAACCAGGTGATTTGATGCATGTAATGCACGATCCTTTAACAACCTCACTCCCGCACTCTTCTTTCTTTTAGTAAGAAACCTTTAGATGTTAGATTCTAAAGGACGGGCCCAGCGTGATCCTGTGGGTAAGATCCAGAGTGTAAATTGACCTGGGAACTGTGGCTGGTTTCTTGGGACCGGAGAACCTGTTTGGGTAGGTGAGATCGGGTTCTAGAACCCCTCACCGGTGTGTTAGGCCCGGGGCTGATTGGGGCACAGGGAGAGCTGGGATGTCTGAGGGGTTTTGCTCGTGAGGCTTCTGGCTGGCCAGATAGGCAGGTGAAGTGCTCGGTGGGGCTGGTCTGTGGCCTGTCGGGAAGGTCTCCAGTCAGTGGCCGTAAGGAGCCCCAAGTCTGAGCAATTTGCCCTAAGCGGACGCCCTCAGCCGTGCCCAGACCCAGCTCGGTCAGTTACACACATACCAGGATGCCTGCCACACCCTCCGTAACACCGGCCGCGCGAGCTCAGCCATCGGAGTGTTTCGGCTGCCGGCCTTTCCCGGAGCACTTGGGCATCTGCTCACTATTCCCTCCTTGCCTTCCCGGGGTGGTTTAAATGAGACTCGTGTAGGTTTGACTGCTCCTCACTAGCTGCTCCCAGGAGTTTGCCAACTTCTCTCCTCACCTCTGTCGCGGGAGACAGAGCTCCCCCTCGCATCATTTCATCCCCGGGGGCTGCCCCAGGGCAGCAGGTCTCTGGGGGAATGGCCAGCCCTGCAGCCCAGGGCTGTGTCTGCCTGAACCGGGTGCTCCTCCGCACCGGTCGGCTCGTGCGACACCCCCGTGACCTCTGGAGCAGTGGGCGCCGGCCAGCCGTTGGCAGCGCTGTGCGGCGCAGGGCTGGCTGCTACCGCTGCAAAGGGAGGGGGAGTCCTACCTTCTCGGTCTCCCGGCTGCACTTGATGATGAAGATGTTGGCATAGATGTCCTCCACGCACATCCAGTTGGAGAGGGACAGGGTGGTATCTGTCCAGACCCAGTCCATCACGGCCCGCAGCTCCACCAGGAAGGGCACCAGGCGAAACCTGCCCCAGGCCAGGGGAGAGGGAGTGGTTACCGGGTCACCCCAAGGGAACCAGCTGCCCTCTGTCCACCAGGGGGTGCCCTCCACACAGGATCCCCTGCTCAGGGGCAGGCCTGGGGTGCTGGCCACCTGCCAAGCTGGGTCATCCCATTCTGCCAGCCCGGGACGCGCCCCTCCCTCGCGATGGTGCTGCACGGCCCCTGCACCCGGTCCCAGGGAGAGAGGCTTCTCGGCCAGGGAGGAGCCCAGCCCCCCAAGCCCCGAGGGGGCCCGTTACCCTTGGAAGAGGAAGAGGTTGAGGTGGTTGTATTTCTTGGTCAGGAAGTTGCCCAGGATGCGGGTGGGGTAGCCACAGCGGATCTGATAGGCCGACAGCGCGAAATAGATGCACTTCACAAAGTACCACAGCTGGGCCACCGGGTTCAGGCTAAACATCCTGCGGGGCAGAGCCAGGGGAGAAGGCGGTGAGGCCGGGAGAGGGCTGGGCCGTTGCTCCTGCCTGGCTCCACCCTGTAGGGTGCAGGCATCTGCCTGGCGCCGGCTGCCTCCAAGCGGGATTTGCCGGCTGCCGCTGGCTTGGATTCCCACCCTGCTGGGCCAGGCCGGACCCCAGGCAGCATGTGCATTGAGGTCACACTCCCCGGCTCGCCTCATCGCCCTGCTCCCTGCCTGAGGGGCAGGGCAGGGCTGGGCTCCCCCCGGGAGTTGACCAAGATGGGCTTAGAACCCCGGCGTCCCGGCTCCCTAGGACCTGGGCCGCGACCAGGCGGCTGCCCTCCCGTCGTTCGGTGCTGAGCGAGCGAGGTGCCCAGGCAGCTCCCCTACCCCGAGGGGGACGGACCTTTCGGTGACCGCCGGCAGGATGAAGAACATCCAGAGGTGGATGCCGAAGACCAGGAAGACCTGGAAGATGAGCTTGCCCAGCACGGTCTTGCGGAGGTAGAGGGCCCGGTCGATGACCATGGTGGAGAACTGGATGAGCAGCATGACCAGGAAGGCCTCCGGCACCTGGTCGTCCGACAGCGAGGAGGTGGGACGGACCTTTCGGTGACCGCCGGCAGGATGAAGAACATCCAGAGGTGGATGCCGAAGACCAGGAAGACCTGGAAGATGAGCTTGCCCAGCACGGTCTTGCGGAGGTAGAGGGCCCGGTCGATGACCATGGTGGAGAACTGGATGAGCAGCATGACCAGGAAGGCCTCCGGCACCTGGTCGTCCGACAGCGAGGAGGTGATGTCGG